ATGCAATGAAGAATGTGTATGAATACTAGCATTAATATTATGATAAATAAAAAAACTATGATGAAATTGTTATCACATATCTAAACTCAGGAATAGGCCACATTGACATTTCCAAACTGCAGTGACAGTGATTTTTAAATGAGATTACAGAAAATCATTACAACAGAGTAAATAAAATATGATTTAATGAATTTTCTAAGACATACCACATATAAAACATACAGCCCTATAATCAGTACTAACTTTTTCATATTACAGGATTCCTCCTTTCCTTTTCTTCTTGGTACCAGGGATTGAACCCAAGACCTTGCACTTGCAAGGCAGGAACAGTGCCACTGAGCTAAATCCTTGGTCCCTTACAGGATTATTTTCCACATAGCAGGAATAGGACTATGTAAACACTCCTTTTTTAAGATACAGAGAAAGTCAAGAAATAAGTAAATGTCAATCTACTAAGTTGTTGACGTTTTTAGTCTGTTTTTAGTTTGTTGCACTAAATTTATTAAATGTTTAAATGTTTATCTCACAAATTATAAATAATCTTCAAGCTTTAAAAATTAAGGCATAGGCCTCAAAGGTCAGAGTGAGTTTTAAACTATGATCAAATCACTATAAGGAACACAGTGGCTCAAAAATCATAGCAGCAAATTTTAACACATACATAGAACACACAATTTTGAAAGTACATATTTTGAAAATTAGGGATTATATTAGTATATGTTATTCTCAACATGCTATATGAAACTTAAAATGAATTTCTTTATATGTACAATACTAAAACTAGTAATTTATAAAATGCAGTAAGAAATAAATGAAGTAGACTATCAAAATATTCTGTTCAGGCAAATAATATAATCTTTTAGCTACATTTTTAATGTAACTGAAAATTTGTCCTATAACCCCTTTCCCACATCTCTATCCCTGACTCTGTGTTTTTCTCTTTCTCTTTTTCTCTGTATGTCTTTTATTCAAGTTTTGTCTCAACAATGAAGAAACACCACTGGTAAGTTCCTACCGTATTTGAAGGAAACTAAATTATCAGATCTTAGGAGCTTCGTCAGTTTACATATCTGTTTATATATTTATTTGCAGGTTTTATTATTGTGTTCAAACTTCAAAGAGAGGCAATAGAAAGCCTACTAATTTTTAATGTTTCTACTAAATAATTAACTATCTGATGAAATACATGATTTTCCACTCTTCACAGTTCTGGCACAAGTTACTGTTTTATTGTAAAGTAAATGAAAGAACACTGGAAAAATTAGTTGCATAACCTAATGGTATTTCTTTGAAAATTCTACATCGTTCTAAGTTGCACTGAAAATCTCAAGTGATGGTTTAACTTTTTTAATAAGTATGGATTACATTTTTAAAATAATACCAGATACATATTTAAAGGAAGGAATCCTAACAGCAAGTAAATATATATTTTTAGCATTTTTTTCTTACTGTATATGCTACACACTAAGAATTATTCAAGTACTCTATTTTTTTATTCTACAAAAAACCTACATTTATCTTGCTTGGCAAAATAACAGAAAGTACTTTAAACTAGAACTGATTTAACTAAGTGGGACCAGCAATTATCTGAACTTTTTTGCTGCAAGGTTTTTACAATAAGGCACATAATAAAAGGTATTATCCTGGGTTTCTCCCAAAATATAGCTGTGGGGTTATTTACTGAGCTAGTATGAAATCAGTGCCATCTCTTCTATTTTCCAGGTATTTAAGCTATACAATGAGAATTGATTTTCTGAGTGGTAGTCCTGAAACCTAGCAGGAGTCTCACTTATCAAAGAAAAATTCAATTGTGTACTTATATGGCACTTACCGACAAGCAGAAAGTAAGAGTATAAACTTCAGATTAACATACCTAGAAAATTCAGATCATCCATTCCCTAGCAGTCTGTGCCACAGGAATTTAAGGTATAGCAATATTTCAATGTTTAGGAGTATTTACAGATCTAGTTCTAATTATCTCTATATTTATTATAGAGTCAGATGAAGTTCTTAATTAAAATTTTGTGCTAGGGCCAGGCATGGTGGCGCACACGTATAATCCTAGCACTTGGGAGGCTGATGTAGGAAGATCGCTGCAAGTTTGAGGCCAGCATGGTCTACATAGTGAGTTCTATAGTGGGGCCTATGCAGTGAGAACTATACAGTGAGACCCTGTCTTAAAAAACAAAAAAACAGAATTTGTATTACGGGATTATACATGTGGTATTTTAATCACCAAGAGTGCTGAATAAAATGAAAGAATGTGTATAAAACTGAAGTAGTAAACTTCCCCAGGAGACTGTTTATCTTTTCAGATTCCAGCTGCTTTGGAACAGAGGTTTAAGGCTAGATGGGTGGCTGGACTAGAGGATCCAAAGAATTCCTTGTAATCCTGACATCCTGTGATCTGTGGAATAATGACAATTAACTGGCCAGACCTTGAGACTTTTTCCTCCTCCGTGTGTGTTCTACATAAAAGGTGAAATAGTAAAAGGCACATAAATGCAAAATGCCACCAAAAGGAAAGAATTACAGCAAGAAAATAAAACATCTCACACAAAGTATAATTATGCTCAGTAACCAGGCAAGAGAGATATGTAAAAGGAGATGCCTCTCTTAAAGTGAACTGTTAATTTTTGGTTTGCCAAACAAGAGCTTGCAAAAGTAATTTCATCTGCCATTTAAAAAAAAGCCCTAGTGCTGTAGTACCTAGTACCACAGTGATGGTGAAGCACTTAGAGATGAGCGAGCACCCAAACTGCAACTCAAAACCCACTTATTTGTTGCAATGGACCAACACTGCACCTGAATACTGAGGTTTTAGTTTAGAAAAAAAATTCATATATTAATATCTTTTGACTTAAAAGAAAAACAGCATGCATGCCACATGTTATAGTTTTAAGAACAAACTACCCAAAGCAACACGGTGGATTAAAAAGAGGAACAATGAATCCAAGTCCACTGCCTTCTCAATCTGTTCATTAGCAGAGTAGATCATGTCTGACCATCATGGCTGTTCCCAGGCTAACAAGAGCCATTACTGATCTCCAATACATTTGTCAAGATGCTAAGAATCACAGAAGAATCGAAGAAACTTGCTATTGTTAGGCCAAAGTTCTATTCATCTCTACTATAGTGAAAAATAGGTCTAAATAATCATTGGTCTTCTATAGTAAAATTACTATGTTAGGTTTTGTTTCCTAAAATCATCCGCATTACAAAGTGCTGCAAGTTAAAGCCTGCAAATCGGGCCATGCTCTTCCTGAGGCTTCCCACTCTTGCGCATTCAGAGCTCTGTCATCATTCTAAGTTCCTTCGGGAGCCTTCCCTGCCCAATACCCTCACCATCTTTTTCGTTTGTTCCCCCGATTCTGTTTTTTTCTCATGCTACACAGGCTTACTCTGTAGTATTTTATCATCTCCCCATTTTTTTCATGCGCATGTGTCCTCTTAGACTGTGAACCCCTTTCAGAACACAGCCTGGATTTAATAATACTCATGTCTGCATCTCTACAACCTTCCACATGCTTTACATCTACTGGGCTTTCAGTCAATATTTCTAGTATAAATGAATACGGGTATGATAACATTATGATAATTAGAGCAGTGAGTGAGACATAATCTTTCATGTGAAACAAACACATGAGAAATAAGAGCCAAAAAATTCTTTAGGCTGATGCATTCTCATTCTCTGTAATGGTGCAGGCTTCTGACAAAACTTGAAATAAGGTCTAGGCAGAGACTGTGGATTAGCTTTTTTCTATAAGTAGGCACACCTGGAAGAATTCAGGGACACACAGCATGAGCTCTTTATAGTGCAAAACACTTTATGAAATCGAAAAAAAAAGAAAAATCAGTAGTACTCAAGGATTTCTACTATAGCCATCTGTCCTGAAAAAATAAAATTTTGTTTGTATAGGTGGTGTGGTAGGAGTTGTGCCCTAGGGTCAGAAAGAGGAAGCACAGACTTAATGTCAAATTAGTTACCTCCAAAGCTCATCTCACACATCCCCTCCAGACAGCGGCCTATTTCTGTCTAGTCTCCTGTTTTAGACAAGATCCATCGTCCATGTGCCCTGCTTCTCTCACACGTCCACCAAGTCCACATTCAATGGGTTTAAAAACCTCTTGGCCATTTTACTCAAGAAACATCCTTCTTCCTCCTTAGATCTGCTCCTTTTTGGAACAATTGAAAAAGCCTCCGATTTCACTCTCCTGTAACTGCATGTTCTCCCTGTGTAGAAAGAAGCTTTTTTCTTAAGACAAATGAAAAGAAAATCACAAATACCTATCTCATATCTTTTCCAGTTTTTTTGTTTTTCTTTTCTTCCTTTTTGCTGCAGCTGCTATTTCCTTTTCTAGTTCTGAAGTAATTCTTGCTATGTAATTTTAAAACTTTCAGATTCACGTGACTTTTAAAAAATTGGCTCCAATAATTTTTTCAACTTCATGTATTACTACTAAAATTCATGTATATATTTCTTATTGGAGGCAATGTCTCACCTTTCTTTTGATTTTGTACAATGAATTATTTTGTCTAGAGTGGCTCTCACCACTTTTTACCCAGAATATATTCATTCTTCAACTCCCAGCATGTCTCCTCTTTAGAGAAACAGCCTCTGCTCTATTAGTAGTACTAAACGTAACACTCCAAACAGTTCTTTGTATTTACATTTAGTATTGTGATTTATCCATCTATAGCTTTCCAGAATGGGAGATCCTCAAAGGCACATACCAGGTCTGTTATATGTGTCCTACTAAGCACAAAGCATGATATTTTACTATGGAAGAAATAAACCATCAGTTTCAAGAATAAGTAAAAGTCCTCAGAGTTCAATGAATAAAATCAATTTTAATATGTTTTTTAGGAAGACTTGAAATTAATGTTTTCATATCCTGTGTGAAGTAGGATTTGAGGGGCTGGCCTTGGAACCTAATAGCCTTGAGTAACTGTTTCTATGGGAACATGCATTCTAAGTTCCAAAAAGCACACATACAAATGAACTTGCTGCCTTAATTCTCCATGGGGCCCAGTGGCTGGTGCTGCGGCTGGAGGCAGCCCCAAGACAAAGGAGTAGCTGCACCTTTCAGAACGGTGAATGAGACTGCAGAAGCCACCACGTCTTGCGGAGCAGCCAGGTCATCAACAGAAGACAGTTCAACTAGCCAGTGAACCATCCATTGCTAATGTTCTCTGCCCAGCTGGCCTTCCTAAGCCCATGCCATGCTGATCACTGTGTACTGTGTGCGGAGGGACCTCTCTGAGGAAACCTTCTCCCTCCAGGTAAGCCCTGACTTTGAGCTCTGCAACTTCAAGGTCCTCTGTGAACTGGAGTCCAGAGTTCCTGCTGAAGAGATCCAGATTGTCCACATGGAGAGACTACTCACAGACAACCACTCTTCCTTGGGCTCCTATGGCCTCAAAGATGGTGATATTGTTGTTTTACTACAAAGAGATAATGTAGGACGTACCCCAAACCAGCCTCGGGTTGATTTCAGTGGAATTCCCCAGCCTGGAACATCAAGCTCCCTTCACCAGCACCAGCACCAGCACCAGCACCATCAGCCGCAGCCCCAGCAGCAGAAGAAGCAGAAGCAGAAACGTGCTTCATCAGCCCAGCAGTCCCATGGCTTGGCCTCCGGAGAGAAGATGGCATCTGCTGCAGGTCTGGACCGCCCTTCCCTGATTCGCAGCATGCTGCTTTCCAGTCCCCATGATCTGTCCCTGCTGAAGGAATGCAACCCTGTCTTAGCTGAAGCTCTGCTCAGTGGAAACCTTGAGACATTTTCTCGGGTCCTGATGGAGCAGCAAAGGGAAATGGCCCTGAGGGAGGAAGAGGGGCTTCACCTCTACTCTGCTGATCCATTTGATCGAGAAGCTCAGGCAAAAATAGAAGAAGAAATTCGGCAGCAGAACATTGAAGAAAACATGAACATAGCTATGGAAGAGGCTCCTGAGAGTTTCGGACAGGTCGCGATGCTATATATTAACTGCAAAGTGAATGGATATCCTCTGAAGGCTTTTGTTGACTCAGGCGCCCAGATGACCATTATGAGCCAAGCTTGTGCTCAGAGATGCAACATCATAAGGCTGCTGGACCGACGATGGGCTGGAGTCGCTAAGGGTGTAGGCACTCAGCGGATTATTGGCCGTGTTCATCTAGCTCAAATTCAAATTGAAGGTGATTTCTTACAATGCTCCTTCTCTGTGCTCGAGGAGCAGCCCATGGATATCCTTTTAGGATTAGATATGCTTAGGAGACACCAGTGTTCCATTGATTTGAAGAAAAATGTCCTGGTTATTGGCACCACCGGCACACAGACTTACTTTCTCCCAGAGGGTGAGTTACCCTCATGTGCTAAGCTGGTAAGTGGTAGTGGGCAAGAAGAGCCTTCAGGCAAAGAAGATAATATTAAGGGTTCAGTCAAGGATTCAGGGCGAAAAAAGCAGTGACTCAGGTTATAATAAGCCACCATCTTGAGGAAGCCTCAGAAATTTTAAGACATGAGCTCACCAGCAATGTAATCATTAAAAACATCAGTAACAACTAAATGTGTCCTTGGGGCTAAGTTCTTAGATGGATAACATTGCAAGTGATGAGTGCTTAACCTTGATGCCTCCTATTTCCCTTACTCAGAGATCAGTGACCCTCATTCTGGTTAAGGCTCTAGAGGGTCCAGTTGGTTTCCAGATCATCTATGAAAAGAACAAAACAGCTTCCTCCTTCAGATTTAAGGGTGATTTGTCCAACCTAACTGCTATTTCTCAGAATTCTGCGGAAAAAGTTATTGATGCAGCTGTTATAAAGTATCTACAGACTAGTTCATGTTAGCAACAATAATTTTTTAAACAGAGAAGTATCTCTATTTTCATAGATTTTGTTTTCTTTAAGAAAGGTATCAGAAACAGTAGGTCAATTATATTCTTGAGTTAATACTTACAAAGGTTTGTTTTAACAGTGTAGGAGCCAATTTCTTCAAATTTATATGTTCCCTTCCCCTTGGATTTCCCTGGAATCACGATGGCTACTGCAACTCACCCTTAAAGGCTCATTCTTTATACATTTTACAACAGACTTTTATCTTTCCATGCCCTGGAATTATTTTTGTTTTCCTGCCCTTAAAGAAAATGTGTTGTGAAATGAATTTGATTTTTTTAAGGCTATATTTTTAGGTAGCTTATATTTTCATAATGGTGGGAGTGGGAGGTAGGAGCAGGCAGTGGTCCAAGACCCTAATACATATTTCAACACTTCAATGAAGTTACCTCCTTATAAAACAGTGTGCTTCAGACAAGGGGCTTCACTGGTAAAATAATATTTGAAAAATTCTGAATAAAGAGATTTCCACAGCCTCATTCAGTTTCATAATCCACTATGAGAAAGCCACTTTCCATCTCAACTGACTGAGAAAGCAAAGATCCTGAACATAACTGTAGCCCTTGTCTGAAATACCTGAGAGAAAAAGTTGACTTGCCTGAGGCCACTGGATACAGGGAAAATATTTCAGGACAATAATTTATCAAGACTGGTATTCGAATAGTAGATTCAAGGTCAATAACATATGTTCTGATTCTAGCCTTATCACCTAGACAAATCACCTACTGTAAAATATGACTCTTTATCTATAAATTGTTTCAGAGTGCAGAGCCACTTATCAAGTGTTACAACTACATTATGTTCTAAAATATTCTTTAAGTTATTCTATTTTCTCAGAAAATATTAAGACGCTTGAAACGTTGCTAAAGGTGACAGGAAAAAAACGATCCTCTAAGAAGAGCCATCCGCTTTCTTCCAGTCACCACCTTGTCACCGTACACTTTTCTTCCTTGTAGGTTTTCCCACGCTCATATTCTTCAGTTTTATCTAAATTTGCGCAGAACACGTCTACTAGAAGTGCTACAAATGCCTCAGAAGACAAACTTCTCTCTTTATGTTTTAATTAAACACTGAATATAGACAAAATGAACAAACAGAAAGAAGAAGATATTCATAGGAAAATCAGGGATAAGCAACGTGCCTGCAACTAAAGTATATGGAAATCAGACCTGAGAAATTCATGGATTCTTTCAGATAAAAAGATTCAAAATGCTCAACATCTTCTTCTGGGTTCAATTTTAAGGCCCATTTGTGCAGAACATAATTTGCATATGTCACACGGGATTCCTTAACATCAAATAAAAGTTTAGTATGTGACCTTTCAGGATGTCTGACTCTTACCACCAGCCTAGACATCTCAGAATCTTTAAGGTAAAAGACAGTTTGCAAGATAACACATCTGATCACAACCACCCTGCTTCTCAGAACACCTTCCTGGGGTAGCTTTAATGTTTTGGGACAAGTTTCAAGCATAATTTTTTTTCTTATTTTGAGCTAAAATCTTATGACCCATAACTTTTAATAAATTAATCTTCCTCTGCCAAAATACAGTAATCTTTTCTGACATGAGGTGTAATCTATTTCATATAGGAAATCAGTTTAATACTAAACATTATTTTTTGTAGGATTTCACTAGATTCTTTAATTGCTCCTTTTAGTGTAAGTTTGAAATCTTAAAAAAAAATCTGTCATGTTCCTTTGGACATAATCCAAGTTATAAAAATATTACTTGAGTGAATGGATGGTTATATTGAAAACACTATCATTGAACTGAAAAGCAATGAGCTCAAAGAAAAATCATTCAACAGCGAATTAAGCAATGCTTTTATTAACATTTTGATCCTTGTTTATACTTTTGCTTTTGCATGCTAGAGAAAATATTCCATATTTACACATGTGTAAATTACTAATTTTGCTTAAGAATATTGCCTCAATACGCATCCACTTAGCTATAAATCTCTCTAGTTTCTTGTTCTTTATGGCTGAGTAGTATTCCATCTTATAAAAACCAAAACAAACAAACACAAAATCTTCTTTATCTAGTCTCCAGTTGATGGGCAAATGGGCTGTTTCCAAGTTTTAGCTATTACAAACTGTGCCACTATAAACATGGGTAGCACATATTACTGTGGTATGATTCTTTTAATTCTTTTGGGAAAGAAAGTTTTAGCTTACAAACTGTGCCACTATAAACATGGGTAGCACATATTACTGTGGTATGATTCTTTTAATTCTTTTGGGAAAGATACCCAGGAATAGCTGGATCAAATGGGACTTCTAATCCTAATTGTTTGACGTATCTCCATATTGATTTCCACAGTGGTTGCACCAGTCTGCACTCCCAACCAACAACAAAGAAGGGTTCCTTTCTCCCCACAACCCTGCCAGCATTTGTTATTGATTTGTTGGTAGCAGCTTTTCTTACTGGGATAAGATGGAATCTCAGTGTTGTTTTCATCTGCATCTCTTGAATTACCAGTGATGATGAACATTTTTTCATAAGATTATTTTATTTTGAGACAGAGTCTCACTATATAGCTCATGGTGACCTCCACCTCATGGGTGATTCTTCTGCCTCAGCCTTCCACGTGCTGAGATTATAGATAGGCATTATAGCATTATAGCTATGCCTGATTTTCCAATCAATTTCTCTAAAAAATTATATTTTATTATGTTTGAAATATCTCAGACACATATCTCACCACTGTATTCTACTACAGAATTCACAAAATGCAACTCACCCAATAAACTTACCCAATTAAAATCTAATTTCAAATGGTATAATTTTTTTTTATGTAATCTTTGTATCGGACATACGGACATATTTTAAATGTGTACATTTTAATGAAATTTAATTTTATGTTAACTACTAAAATACTACCAATAGAAATAACAATGAAGTAGCAGTAATTAGAATGCACTTAAAATTATTATTGAAAGTCCATGTAATAAGCACTGAGCCAAGATTTTACAATTATGAAAATGAGTGACAGGTCCTGAGCTCAAGACATTATGACCTAGTAGGAATACAGGAATAGATGAAAGGCTTATAAACAATAATGAACAAAAAAAGCAGGCCTTCAATTATTAATATATTGATGCAAAAGAAGAATGTAATATTTAGGGGTCATCTTTAAAATAAGTAAGCAAGCCATTTTTAATATTTTTAAAAGGTCTATCACTGATGCTAAAAAATTACCCTTCTCTTAAAATTTAGGTTTCTAATATACGACTTGCAAATATCTGTCATTGGAAATTTACTTCATTAGTTTTTTTTCCTATTTGAAGTTAAGATAAAGTAGGACACAAGAAAAAATAGGCCTAACATATTTGAAAACATAAAGTATTAGGCCAGGGATTTAGCTCAGTGGCACCATGCCTGACTTGCAATCACCAAGGTCCTGAGTTTGATCTCTGGTACCATAAAAAACAAAAAAATGAGCTGTTTTTTAAAGCTCCATTGAATTATCAAGCTCACCTACCAGCCATTTAAATAGCCATCTTTCCTAAAATGAAATAATTACTGTGATAAGCAAGCATTTCAAGAGAAGAGCAATGCATTCTGCTGCAGATAAATTAGAAGACTGATGGACTTCAAGTTAATTATAACTTAGGATCTGAACACCCTTCTTAAAATATTAGATCATATAATTTCTTTTGTTTGTAGGGGAAATTTTGCTCCCCAAAGAGAAAAGACAAATAGATGCTTGCATGTATGAATTCATCTTCACCACAGTTACTAACTGTTAGTTTAGTTTTAGTTAAGAGGACATCATGCTGCTTTTGGGATGCCAAATATTAGAAGGTCATTTGTTGACATGAACAATTTTGCAAAGAAACCCCTGAGGAAATGCTTAGAGTGATGTGGTGAAACTAATAATCAATGCTACAATTCCTAGTTATTCTTTACAGTTAACAAAAGCTTGGAAAACAAAGAAAGATTGACAAAGTTAAAGATGTACACTATAATACATTATTGGTTTAAGTAGTTTTTTTTCTTTTTAATTGAGTTTATTGGTACATTTTAGGGATACAGTACAGTTACATTCATTGTTAGGATCTTGTACCTCTACATGACTGGTCTTGGTTCTCATTTTTTCCCCTTGTTAAGTACAGTTTTATGGCGATTGAGGACAGAGCTGAAATTATGGATTAGCTGCCATGGATTAGCTATCATTCCACAATACTGTAGTTTATTCTGTTGGCAAACTATTTAAAAATGATAACATTTTCATTGATTTCATATTAGAGCTTGATTCCAACTTGCTTTCGAACCCCAGCTTGTTCCCACACATGGGTTGGCCTCATAGAATATCAGAGTTTCTGAAGGTCTGTTAGAAGAAAAAAATGGAGCTACTGTCTTAGTGCACACTCTGTGCCTTCCTCAAAGGACACACTGAAGGGACTGCTGAGATGGCAACAGGCAGACGGCTTTATCTCACTGGACTGAAGTAAATGTTTTCTATGATTGCTTTTCTTTTTACATTTTATTGCTTTCTTGCTTATTTGCTTTCTTCTTTTTTAGAGGGGGACTTTTATGAATCCCATTTTTCTATATTTCTAACCAATAAGGCTTATTTTGAGAACACTGTTATGCAAAGTCACAGTTGATTTCCTTCTATGTTAGTCCTTGGAGGCAGAGTGGCAATGTTTCAGGTAAGAGTAAATGATATATTTTTCTACTCTTAATTGATGTATGGTTTCTCTGTCCCAATAAAGAACATGATGATGATGAACAGAAGCATATTTCAGCTAACTAGTCATTTAAATTCATCAAATTCCTGTACTATAACATCCATCACCATTCTGAAATCTTTACTCTGGAGTCTTACTATGAGAATTCCACAAAATGAAAAGAAAAATTAACTTTAAATCATACTAATTCACATATTTTTCCTTTCCAACTCATTTCATCCAATTAGTACATCAGTCAAAAAGTTACTGCTTTTGCATATATTGATGTCACTAAACATGCAGTTTGAAGACTGTCACTTTCCTTTGTTATACAGAGAAACAAAGATATATAAATTAAACTCTTAGTCTTTATAAAATTTAAATGTCTAGGTACAGGATCTAGAATAATTCAAAATAAATATTCAAAAATAATCTCTACTTAAACACTGCCTTATGAAATGCAGAAAATGCAGTTGAGGGAAACAATCCTGCTTCCCATATGAGATACTAACTACAACATGGCAGGATCTGTTCTATAAAATCTTCCTATCCACCTGCTGCAAACAGGAACCATTGCAGGTGCTGAATTTCCACAATGCAGCAACTGATTTTTGGTACTTAACTGGAGCTGTGAGCTATAACCAGGCATATTGGAGATCCTCTCCTTTTTAGAAATTTAGTATTATAAAAATATAATATTAAATCACATATAGATAGTAGGATTATCTTTGTAAAAAAAGAATAAATATGTTCTAGGTTAACAAGTATTGAAAGCAAATTTTAAATTTTATGCTATAGACCTGCTATGCACCTCTATATAGGATGCAATTTTTTTTTTTTTTTTTTTTTTTTTT